TGAACTTGCAGTATGACAGTTTTCTGAAGGACAGAAACATACTACGCTATTGCAGCATCTTTTCTACATCTACACAAACAGATTTGATTGCATTTGGAAACCAGTACTGTCCATACACTGGGTCCACATTTCATTCTTGTAATGACATTTAGAAGGAAAGCTTTAGGAAGCAAAAGTAAATTCACTCAGGTGAAGTGAATTTAAAAAACTTCATTTACTCCTGATTGTAAATCTCATTCTGTGATTAGGTGGGGATAAAAGATCTTGGCAAGCCTGTCACTTACTTTGTTTTACAGTACTCCTGTCACTTACTTTGTTTTACAGTACTCTTTACTGTAGTTTTAACATTACTACTGGATGTAGTGTGGATGTCACATGAAGGAAAGTGGTTTTGGTTTCCATGAAGGAAAGGGTTTTCAGTAGCTGGATATTTTGGAAATCTTTGTCTCTTGGCAGCAGAAAGTACAGGAGCATTTTTCTGCTTTCCATTGCCTGTCTCTCCAGTTATCTTGTTTTCCAGGACAAGAGGAACAGTTCCCTTTTCCCTTGTTTTTTATCTTCCTCCCTTTCATCTGCAATTGTCTACTCATCTTTCTTTTTATCTTAGGCTGCTGTGGTACAGAATATGCTGTTAGAGGCCTACCAGCATTGTGGAACCAGTGAGTTGGGAAAAGCCCTAAACAGAACTTGTTCCCCATACTGTTGCTACAAAAGCAAGTGAAAAAATGCTGCTGTGCAACAGGGTCATTTCTTTTTAGCAGAAAATCTTTGTTCACTACTTAGACCCTTCTTCCTGCCCCTGATTTTTCTGCCTTAGCAGTTGCAGGCAAAATAATTGAAACAACATTTTTTTTGTGGATAAAGAGAAGATAGACTTGGAATGCAGGAATTAAATATTTGGGGAGACCTCAAAGGTTTTACCAGGGTGGTTGCTTTCATCAATTGCCAGTAATGGCTAAGGGCTATCAGCGTGTAAATGACAGTACAAACATGGCAAGTCACAATTGGTAAGACTCCAAAAAGTTCTCACTATCATCTTATTCCAGGAATGTGTCTAGGATTGTACACAGAAGCTCATTCTAGGTAGTTTTTGGAAACTGAGAAGCAAAGTCAAATTAGTCTGACAGATAAATAATTGAGAAGAGGTGAAAACTCCACCCTATTCAATGGTGCTAGGAAAAAAAGCAGAAACTTTCCCAGACCTTTAGGATCTTGCATAGGCTAGAATTGCTCCCATTTTACCTGTTTAGATTCCAACATATCATTACTTAGCTTTTTGTTTTTGTTTTTAAAACATGATCTTAGCATATTTTCATACAGAAGTTCAACAGTTGCATTTTCAAAAAAAAAACCAAAAGACTTTGGAGGAGTCAGTTCACATTTGAAACCACTGTTAATTTTACTGGCCTGTGCTTAGAAGGTGCTGAACTGTTTCACTTCAAAGTTAATAAATCAAACTTTACATATTTATTTTTTTTTTTTTTTGCATCTAGAAGTTATGCAAGCAAGAAGAGGAATTTATCAAAAGAAATACTTTGTGGTTTTTACAATAAACAGTGCTTTTAGCCAAACTACAAAAGCATTTTAGTTGATCTAGCTGCAACTTTAGAGAATGCACAAGGTAAAGGACTTACTAACATTTTATGAGATACTGTGGTAGCAGCTTCTGGCCTTATTCCAGTTCAAACTGTTACAAGGTTGCCTGGCATGTTTTTGTAATATATACAACATTTTGGAAAGGGTTGTATTAACACCAAGAGTTGATTCTGAGTGCATTCTTGATCTGTTAGATTGGCTAGGCAATGCTGTAGTAAACAAGAAATAATATATCACACTAAGAAAGCAGGCGGTAATCTCTCATACTTTTATTTGCACCAAATTCTATTTCTGTGTCTTTCTTAGAAAAGTATGTACCCTGGAGTGTGATCAGTCTGGTTTGCAGACTTTCTATCAATAAATCATGTTTGTTCATTCAGTTTATCAGGTGACACATAACAATACACCTTGCAGATTAGTTCTCTACCTAGTAGCCTTGTACATAAAAGAAAAAATTTCATTTCAGCTGAAATAGAAATTGTGGTTTGGATTAGGAAATTTTTTATACTTTTTAGGAGAGAACTTCAGGCATTCCTGTTTTACTTCTGCTGATTTTAAGGTGAATACAAAATTTGAAATCTGTAAGACCCCTGCTGTAATGTTAAGTATAAAATAATGATATTAAAAAAAAAAAAATTTCATAACACTCGTGTAGTCCTATATAGGTTGTACTGAGACATGTCCAGCAGCTTGCCTCTACAAAAACCAAATCTGAGCCAAAGGACTGTGTGCTTTTGGTATAACCTTGTAAAGAATTATTTACAAAATAATCAACAAAAACACAACTTACCACCTCTGTAGTTCTTTAATGACTCTGAATCCTTAATAAAGCCAGCTTATTCCTGTTTATGAGATGGGAAGGAGGAAATGTGGAATTGCACAGTGACTTGCCCCACACAACAGATTCAATGAGTGGAAAATGTGATTTGGAAACTGTGATCTTCAGTGATTTGGAAAGGACAAAACTTTTGCCTAGCCCTTTGGCCTAGCTCTGCCTTGAGTTGGCATTGGGGCAGTGGGGTAATACTGCTTCTTTTGGTGTAGTAGGTATTTTATGATTAAGTGTAAAGCAAATTGCAACCCTTGCCCTGTTTAGCCAGATCACCATTTTACACAGGACAGTCAGTTACATCACTTGCCATTTGTAAGGACAAAACAAGCCCTGAAT